TTCTAGAAATGTTGATGCCATTGGGGAAAGCATATTTCTCTCAATATTTTTTCCTAGGGTTCTTTTTTTTGGGGGGGGGAAATGAAAAATTGGGGCAGAAATATAAACTCACTCAATAGTTATTGTTAACATATTTTGCCACTTTAAGAACATAAATTCTTCATTTATAACTAAACATGAAATTGTGGCATTGGACATATTTATTTATAAGATTTAGAAGTTCAGTGCCTTAGTTTTCTTAAGAGTTCAACAAACAAAATTGTGACTATACCCAGTGGGGTAGAGATAGACAGAAAACTGCAAATAGCTTAATCCTGTGCTTCTTTAGCACATATATCTTAATTTTCACCACCAGTGGGGGATTTTTATTAGGTGCTATTTAATTTGTTCGTAAATGATCTGGATCTGGAGGAGGGTGGTGACCAGAGAAGTGTCCAAGTTGTGCATGATATCACTGGAATGTGAGAACCAAAGCAAACTGTCTAGAACTTCAACAGGTCTCTATAAATAGGTGAGTAGACAGCAGTGTGGTAAATGTTCAACCAAAATAAATGTAAAAATATTTGTTGCAAAAGTCCTAACTATACATATCTACTGATGGGATCTGAACTAATTAAACACCTGCTGGTATGGCTCATTGGCCAGAAGCCAATAATTCATCAGGTTGTTTTGATGTGTCCATCAAGATGTATCCATTTGCAGGATTACATGATGTTTGCAAAATGTTTTCTCACACATTTAGACTTTCTATTACTGCTACTGTTTGCCACACATCTGCCATTCCCCAACGTCCAATTCTAAAAGGGCATGTAATAATAAATAAATAAATCAGGGGTCATTTGGGGGGGACGTGAGGGGACGCCATCCCCCCGGGTGAGGTGCGGGAGGGCGGGGCCTGGAGCTCCCTGCTGGTGCCTGCTGGAGGTCGCCGCCGGCTGTGGGGAGGACACACTTCCGGTGATGTCAGGGGGTGTGGCATATGCGAATGAGTTATGCTAATGAGTCCCCCTAGCTCTTTTTCTACGAAATGACCCCTGAAATAAATACATAAATAAATAATACTATCAGAGATTGTTGAGTTAAGACTTGCAGCTTAAGTGTCTTAGTGTGCCTTTGGTGGACAATTCATGAACCCAGGCAATCTTGTGATCAGTTTTTGCAACCACTTTTTGAATAGAAGCTGCTGAATATATAGGCACAAAAAGCAGACAATGCAATCTCACTGATGCTGGTTGTTTAAGGGATGCATGCAATTGTGAAGAAGGACAAAGGGGGTGAATGGATTATCTGGATCATTTCTAATCTGGTTTCAGGCCTGGTAGGCAGATTGAAACAGCCTTGGTCACCCTAGTGGATTACTTGCACTGCGAGATGGACAAACAGAGGATGACTCTGCTGGTTCTCTTGGACCTCTCAGTAGTTTTCAGTGCCATCAATTATGGTGTCTTTCCAGACTGCCTTTCCAGTCTGGGATTGGGAGGCATCATTTTGCAGTGGTTCGAGTCCGCCCCAGATGGTAGGCTTCAGAAAGTGGTGCTGGGGGACTTGTGGTCATCCACTTGGCCTTTGTCCTATGGGGTCCCGCAAGGTTCGATTTTGTCTCCTATACTTTTTAACATGTGCATGAAATCTCTAGGTGAGATTTGGAGATTTGGGCTGGACTGTCACCAATATGCAGGTGACACACTCTGATCTAGCTTCTGGCTGATCCCAGGAGGCTGTAGAAACTCTGAACCAGAACCTGGAGGCAGCTTTGGAATGGATGAGGGCTAATAATGTGAAGCTTAATGCCAACAAGATGAAGGTGCTGCTAGTGAGCAGAGGATCTGGCCTGGAATTAAAGTTTCACCCATTCTGGACTGGGCTGCACTGCCTTTGAAGGAACAAGTCTGCAGTTTGGGGGTGCTCTTGAACACAGGCCTACTGCTGAATAAACAGGTGGCAGTTGTGGCCTGCAGTGCCTTACAGCTTTGACTGATTAGCCAGCAGCAGCCTTTCCTGGGCAGAAAAGATCTGACCACTGTGGTGCATCCTTACTAGGGCTGCCAGCTTCCAGGTGGGACCTAGAGATCTCCTGGAATTTCAACTTGTCTCCAGATGACAAAGATCTGTTCCCCTGGAGAAAATGGCTTTTTTAAATATCCTACTGAGGTCCCTCCCCTCATCCCAGCCTTCCCAGGCTCCACCCCCTAATATTCAGGACCCCTGCTGGTTCTATGTAGATTAGAATGCTGGAACGCACTCTACACAGGGCTGCCCTTGAAAATTGTTCAGAAATTCAACTGATGTAGAATGCTGCAGCCAGGGTGTTGACTGAAGTGAGTCATAGTGACAATCAGTGTTCCCTCTAAGCTGAGTTAGTGTGAGCTAGCTCACAGTTTTTTAGCCTCAGGCTCACACATTTTTCTCTTAGCTCAGGAAGGATGGCTCGAGAGCAAACTAATTTATGCAGTAGCCAGATCGCTCGCTCACAACTTTAATGCCAGTAACTCACAAAGTAGAAGTTTTGCTCACAAGACTCCACAGCTTAGAGGGAACATTAGTGACAATATCATGCCAGTCTTGGCTCCAAATTTGTTTCCAAGCACAATTCAAAGTGCTTGTGTTGATCTTTAAAGGCCTATATGGCGCCTTAACCTGGATAGCCCAGGCAAGCATGATCTCTTCAGATCTCAGAAGCTAAGCAGGGCCAACCCTGGCAAGAATTTGGATGAGAGACCTCCATGGAATACCAGGGCCAGGAGGCAGGCTATCAAGCCACTTCTCTGAATGTGCTCCATGCCCCAGTAGGAGCTGCCAGAGGTCACATGACTTCCATGCATAGGCACACACCTCACACACACACAAAGCCCTATATGGCTTTCGACAAGTATACCTGAAGGATTACCTATTCCCTTACGAACCTGCCAGACCTCCACAATCATTTCCTGAGGCCCTGCTTCTGGTGTCCCCACCCTCTGAGATTAGATGGGTGACAATCCAGGAGAGGGCCTTCTTGGTCATGGCACCAAAACTCTGGAAATCTTTCTGTAGATCTATAGTGTGGCTGCATTTGGAACAATACTGGGTTCCATTCTGGTCACCCCACCTTTCACAAAGTTGGACAAGGTGCAGAGAAGGACGCTTTTTCCACAAGGAAAGGCTTAAGAGTCTAGAGTTACAGTATTTGGGGAGATAGATTCATCCACTGGGAGCAGCAGCCAGGAGATGCTTGGGTCTCTGTGTCCCTGTCGTAGGTCTTCTCGGGTATCTAGTTGGCCACTGCAAAACTAGACTGACCATCAGTTTGATCTGGCAGGACACTTCATACATTCTTATGTTAAGAACTACAACATTGCATCTGAAAAAACCCTCTAGCTTTTAATTAAATTAACACTGATCTCCCTTATATATAAAAGCCGAATGGTGGTGGCACTTCTCTGGAACATTCCACACGCTCCGGAATTGGTTGGTGCCCTGGTGTGTCACTCAGAATCTGTCCCTATCCACTGGCTGCATTCCTTGAGTCTCGCCTCCAACATTCTAAACAGTTTGCTGTTCCCCTCCCCCCCATAGCCAGTCAGAACACAGAGGTTATTTGCATATGCAGCATATGCAGTCTCATTGGTCTTTGCCTCGGAACACAGAGGTCGTTTGCATATGCGACTTGATGGCTTTTGCCTCTAACATTCTAAACAGTCCAATCTCCAGGGGAAGGCTGGAGATCACTCAGAATTACAACTGCTTTCCAGATGGCAGAGATCAGTTCCCCTGGAGAAAATGGTGGGCTCTGTATCCTTATATGCTGCTGAGGTGGCCCCCGTATGACAGCCAATGTGACGTAGCAGTCAGGGCTTCAGAGCACGGGAGAGGCTGCAGGTGTGTGGGGGGTGGAAAGCTGAAGAGTGAGGGGGAAAGAAAGGTAGGCTGATGATTGGCTGGGAAGGAGATAGGGTTGCCAACTCCAGGTGGGAAATTCCTGGAGATGTGAGGGATGGAGCCTGAAGAGGGTGAGGTTTCAGGAGGCGTGGGACCTTGACAGGTACAAAGCCACAGACTCCACTTTCCAAACCAACCATTCCCTTCTGAGGAACCGTTGCCAATCTCCAGGTGAGGGCTGGAGATCACTCAAAATTACAACTGTTCTTTAGGTAGCAGAGATCAGTTCATCTGGAGAAAATGGTGGGCTCAGTGTCACTATACCCTGCTGAGGTTGCCACAGCAAATTGACACTGAGTGTCTAAGGCCGGGGCACCCGCCCAGGGCCTCTTTCTAGAGATCTTTGTATTTATTTCCACAATGAGCCTTTTTCCTAGTTATTAATAAAGCACAGTACAATCAGCATACTAGAAAGCAAAATTAAACCTCATAATCAATCAAGAAGCAGATACAATGAGGCACTAACGGATACATCATTTTAGTATTTTTTGTCAAGTTGTGAGAACTGATGAGTCAAGAAAAATGTTGCTATAATCTGAGTATTTCTGTTTAGAAAAATAAGTCAGAATACACTTATTTAATTATGGTAATATTCACAACGTGTTAATTGTAATTTGTATGGTTTTAAGAAAACACGTTTCTCTCCCATGTCAGGATGTGTAATCCCAAAATGTCTGTAAATATACCTTGAGAAACGTACTCACATATCGGTGTCAATATACAGTGCATCTAAGAATAACCCATTGTTTCTTTTAAAGTTGCAGGTCTGTCATCTCATTTATTGGACAGTATCATTTTACCAAGCCTGGACTAAAGCAGCAACCACCCAACCTAGTTGTTAGCTTTGATAGCTTCTGCTATCATCTGATAGTTTGCTTGCAGCCGGTTCAAGTTGGCAATGTCACCCCAAGCTGATTGGAGCTGCAGACATTTTTGCTGACTGGAGTCAGGCTCTCTTTTCCAGTTTGCTGGAATAGACACAGACACTGATTGGGTCATGCTGAAAACATTCCAGGCCTATGAAGCAAGTCTGTTTGTATTTTAGGTCTGCCAGGACTAATGAATTAAAAAGCTTGGACTCTCGACAGTTTGCTGCTTTGATAATGCTTCTGATGGAAGGATTTTTGCCCCATGAAGCATGACTATGCTGTAATCCTGCATTGTTGGAAAAGAAAGGAAGGGAGAGTGGAATTGTGAAGGAAAACGGAAAAGGGTGGTCCTGAGGGACTGAAAAGCCTATGGGAAGTGCAGGTAGCAGCATGTTGCCCTGACAGCTGTTTCAGCTTCTCAGACCTTGTCAGTTTGCTGCTCTGTAGCAGGTGCAGCCTTTTCTTTTATTGAATCTTTACTCCATAAAGGCAACAACAAGCCAAGGCAGTGGCTGGCTGGCCCTGGATTATACAAGTGTAGACACTACTAAGTGAGGTAAGGCAACAGGTGTGAAATCTGAACTAACTGATTGAGCTGTAACCACACTTAAGTTGAGTTCTGCTGCAGATTTTTTTAAAATAAGGAAACAACATTCAGTTTCACAGGCAATCTATAACTGAAGACCTGTTTCCTGGGGAATCTTTTTAGACAGTTTATGAGACATAAAGGCTATCTAGTGCTTCAGCTTTAATACAAGGGGTGGGGAAAGTGGAAGTTTTAAATCCAATCTATTTAATTTTCCTTGTTTGGTGATATTTCCATATAAAATGAAATGAATGAAATTTCTATTCTGTCTTCTTTGGATTCTTTTTGCTTGATTTGTTCCTGTGAGAAATTCTGTGGAAATGTGGTGGTGAAACAGAATACCAGCTAGCACAGAGTGCCTATAAATGCAGTTGTCTTCTTGAACAATTAGCCTGTTTTTGGAAGGAATCCTTACTGGATCAGAACAAGATAGTAGTTTTAAAAGGGACTTTTTTTTAGCCATTCCAAAATTATCCTTTAGAAACTGCACTTCATTTAGCAGTTTGATTACCTTTGAAATGCATTTTATGCTAACCGGAATATGACATTCAAAGGATGAACAATTTAGATCCTGTACATTTAAAGTAAAGTTGATGCTGGCATTTTTAATTCACAATAATCTCTCTCTCTCTCTCTCTCTCTCTCTCTCTCTCTCTCTCTCTCTCTCTCTCTCTCTCTCTCTCGTAAAAAATAATGTAACAGTGACACTGAGGAACTAAATTATAGTTAGACATGAACAGTGCAATCCTGAGCAGAGTTACACCCTAAATCCATTCAAGTCAATGGTTTAGAAGGGTATAACTGCTTAGGACTCACAGTAAAATTGCATTGCCTTAAATGCTTGGGTATTTTTGTTAAAAAAATTACAAAACAAACCTGTATCTTTTATTCAAGTGCTGTTTAATTTTAAAATGATACATGGGGAACATTTGTTATATAGTCTAACAACTTAGTTAAGCTAAATGATTTTATTTGAAACTGGTTTATTTGCATTGATTTGAATACAGTTCAATGCAGTTTTTATAGAAAAGCATAAGAAATAACAGATTTTGGCAATCTGTCATCTGAATTAACACTGTTTGAACCCATGTTTGTCCAGCTAGGCACTACCATGAAAGAAAAGAGATTTTTTTCCCCCCAATGTGCCTTGTTCTCAACATTTATCTAGCAACTATATCATGTGAAATGGATTTAAACATGTGCTGAAGCCAGAGGCTATTGTCTTTCATTTTAGGATGATGCACTAAGGCTACTTTCAGACTGGGATTTTGGCCCAATACAGTTGCTCTTCCCAACAGATTAAATGGGCTCGGTCACACATCCACATCTGTCAGCCATTCTGCAGTCATATGCATCCTGTCATACAATGAGTTGGAAACAGAGTAAATAGCCACCACATAACATGGGGTACTTTCAGTTCCCCATGTGTTGGTGGATGTCCAGACATGGGGGAGCAGACACAGAGCAGAATGGCAATCTGAACCCGCCAATACATTACAGGCAGGTGTTTCATTCTCCGCCCATATGCATAAGCGCCTAGCCATCCAGCCATCCACGCTGCATGGGCGCCAAAGCACTCAAGGCAAGTGTAGCCATCCAGCAGCAGGGATCTCCTCATGCCACCAACCCTGTGAAATGGTGTGCAGTCCCCATGTGGGGGGACTATATGGCGGACACCACTGTCAGGCTCACAACCCTTGCCTGGCTTCCAGCCCCAGATAGTCAACTTCCACCTGGCCAGCATTCTCAGAGCCACACACCCAAGATGGTGGCCATCAAAGGAGTGTGTGAATGACCCACCGCCCCCCACCCCCCCCATGCTATATGAAGTCACCTCGAGTTGTGGTGTCTGACCAATATTTTCTGTCCTTGATTGGAGCGGAAATATTTAACCTGCCCTCAAACCACCCCAAGCTGCCAGTATGATTGTAGCCTCATGCAATTTGCAGGTTCAAGAGGACTAACACTTTGAACAATATGTGTGATCAGACTCAAAGTGACACCCAAGTATAACCACCACTCCTGTTCTCTATTAAAACACAAGTAATACTAGTGCTTGTTTTGAAAGGGGTTGAAATGGAAAGGCAGATGAAATCTCTAGCCAAGTTCATATTTCATTTCAGAATTCATAAGCTGAGAATGCTGTCATTGATTACTGTTATGCATTCTAGTTTTCTAGGTTAGCCAACCTCTAGGTTGGGCCTGGAGTTCTGAAATTACAACTGATATCCATACTACAGAGATTAGTTTCTGTGAAGGAAAGGTTGAGAAATTTCAGACAGACGATATAATCTGGAAGAGGAATGGTTCCCAAACAGTTTCTGGTCTGTCATTTCAGACAGAACTGTTTTAGAACCGGTTCCCTACTGGAATATATTTGTAATTTCAGACACAAATGCTTCTGTCCCATTTAGGAAACGGGGCTGAAGCGTTTTACCTGTCAACCGCTTCCAAGTAGTCTTCAGTTTCCTCTCCCAGTTCCGATGCACTTTTTCCCGCTGTTTTTCACCTGTGCGGGCAATCTCCGGATTTTTTAAAAACGGGCACTTTATAGCGCTATAACGCAACAGCATTATATCAACCACATTGGAATGCCTGGAGTGTTGCATAGGCGTAGAGTTCAGGGGGGCGCAGGGGCGGGGGCTACCTCCGAAATTTTCCGGGGGAGTCTCAGCCTCCCCCGGGGCTTGTGATGCTTGCAAAAACAAAACCCATCCCTCTTCCCGGTTTGAAAGCGGAAGTTTTTTTTAACTTTTTTAAAAAAACCTTTTTTTTTGCCAGTTTGGGGGTGGTCGCCCTGGCTGTGCTCGTCCAGCCAGCTCAGCACCTCCTCCTCCTCCTGGTCCCCTCTGTCGGCAGGGGAAGGGAGGGAGAGAGAGCGCCAGGGGGCTGCTGCCGCAGAGGATGCCGGACCTTGTAATCCCCGTGCTTTGCTGGGGGCGGGGACTGAGCAGCCTGCCGGGAGAGTTTGGCCCCGGTTCCCACGTGCAGCAGCCGGGTGTGCCTGGCGAGGAGAGGGCGGGCTCCGCAAGCCCGGGAGGGGGAGGGGGAGGAGG